CTCATCCATTGAGATCTCCAGCTCTTTTAGAGTACATAGAGACAAAATGTTCACAGCAGAACCTCCATCTATCAGTATGCGATTCACCTTTCTTTCGCGAGCGTAACCCGTTACGAATAAAGGTCTATTATGGGGTTTTGAGCCCAACAACAAGTCTTTATCCGTGAAGGTGACTGCTGCATCGTTGCCTTCATGGTCACATTGTTCTTTTCCATCAGTTGACTCCTCATCACTTGGGACATCATCTTGCTCGTTCGTCACATTACAAGCGAAGCTTTCATATCCTTCATCGCAGTTCACAATTGAAGCAAAGTTCGCAGTCCCTTTGTCTTCTTCGAGTGATATCTTGCCTTGTCTCGCCAGTTGCATAACCCTATCTTTGAAGACAAAGCAATCTTCGATGGAGTGACTCACCAGACGATGATACTTGCAGTATTTTGGGTTGTCAACTTGTCCTGCTTCTTCAGGTCGTTTCATATCTGGCAGTTCAATGAGTTGTTCCCGAATCAAATCGTCGAAAATTCCAGAAACATCAGAGTCGAGGAAAGGATATTGTTTGGCTTGCATCTCCTTCAAGCTTAATTTTCTTTGCCCCTATCTTGAAGGACTTCTTTCTTTTCCACAACTTTTTCACTTGTGTTTCCCTTGAGTTTGATGGGTCTTGCATTGACTGTCATTGCTTCCTTTACCTCTTCGTTAGATGCTCTAGAGAAGAACTTGCCCCCTTTCTTGGCTTCATTTCGCTCATTGAATCTTTGAGGCTCATGAACAGGTGGATTCTTGACTCTGCTTGCAGACATGCTTAATTCCATATCATGTGCGCGAGTGGCCAACTCTTCAAACGACTTTGGTTGAATTCCTTGTAGAATGTATCGGAGACCCCAATGCATCCCTTGAGTACACATTTCAATAGCTGAAACTTCAGACAATCGATCCTTACAATTAAGGCTTAGATTTCTCTATCGGTTGATGTAGTCAATAACACGCTCTTCATCCCACTGCTTTGAATGAGTGAGCTCAATCATGCTGACCGTCCTTCGTGTGCTGTAGAAACAATTGAGAAACTCTTGCTCTAGTTGCTCCCAGCTATCAATGGAATTTGCCTCCAAGTCGGTGTACCACTCGAACGTATTTCCCTTTAATGATCGAACAAACTGCTTTACCAGACGATCTCCATATGTCCCAGCATCGTTGCAAGTCTCAATAAAGTGAGCTATGTGTTGTTTCGGGCTGCCTTTACCATCAAACTGTTGGAATTTAGGCGGTTGATATCCAGTCGGCATCTTCAAGCTATCAATTCTTTGGGTGTATGGCTTTGAATAAGTCAATGATGACTTGGAGCCTCCATCAAATTTGTCCTTGATAATTCCCATGATGAATTCTTTGAGTTGGTCAACTGGTATGAGTCCACTTGAAGAAACATGGATTTCTGACGAAGACTTCTCTTTTTCAGTTTGCTTCACCTCATCTTCTTTAGAAGTTTCTTCATCCTCATGTGTTTCATCTTGCTTGCCCCAAGCACGGCTAGTCTCAGCTTTGTCGACCCTTTCTAACAACTTAAAATTGTGGAGTCTTGTTCTTGGACATATTTCATCAGCGACTCCATTGTTTTTGTCATGGTTGCAAGTTGCTCTTCAATGGTTGATGCATTCGTCATCATAACATGTGCCTCCATTGAGAAAGGTGTTGATGAAGCATCGTCTCTCAAATCTTCCTCTTGGTTCATCAAAGGCGGCCGATTTTCCTCAACTTGTTGGAAATTTCCTTCCAGAGATACACTCTTGCTTTTTGACATGCTTCTTGTTACGACACCAACACTTTCACTTGCAAAACTTGAAGAAGTTGACTTGGGAGGAGTCATCGTTGCACTTATATATCTTGAAGAAAAGAGATAAGAGGTAGAGATGGTCCCACCGGGCATGCCAGAAATTTGTAACGCAAAATTTCGTATTATTAAATTAATAAACACGAGAACTTCGTATAAATGGATTTTCAATGGATCAAAAGAAATATAGTGGATTACATATCTCTATTATTCCTCTGATTAATTTCTTCAAGATTGATCTTCAAATGGACTTGAGACTTTTGGAGATGAATCTTCAGTTTGATCTCCGCCGGTCTTGAATATGGATTTAAATAACGTTTCTTCGAGGGCTTGATAGCTTGATCTCGAATCGAACGTCGTGATTCCCAAGAACGTAAATAACACGAATCCTTGGTCTTCGCCGCAAAGTTGGTTTTGATCTTCTTTACGCCGGTCTTGATTTGAATAACGTAATTCGGAGGCTTGTCAGCTTGTTTCCGGATTAAACGTCGGTTTTTGACTTGAATGCGCTTGAATCTTCCTTCGGATCTTCAAGAACGCCTTTGAATCTTCAAAACACTTGGAATTTAACAACGCAATTTGGAGGCTTTGCAGCTTGATTCCGGATTGAACGTCGGTTTTGGGCTTGAACGCACTTGAATCTTTCTTCGGATCTTCAAGAACGCCTTTGGATCTTCAAGAACACTTGAATTTCGTGGAGAGAATTCTTTAGAGCTCTTGAACTTGAAACTTGAATATGAATTCTCTTTTTTTCCACCTTAAGGAGGGTCCCTATTTATAGGTGTTGGGAGAGAGAGTCTTGGAAAAGAAGACTTCAATTTGATTGGTCCGTAATTTCTAATATTTATCTCTTAATATTTATTTAAAGAGATAATTAAGAGAGAGTCTTGAAAAAGAAGACTTCAATTTGATTGGTCCATGAATTTCCATTTATTTATCTCTTTAATAATTATTAAAAGAAATAAATATTTATTTTACTCTCCAAGGAAATGACATGTGGCATTCTTTATTCAAAAATATACATGTGGCATTCTTTAATTGGTCAACAATATATACTAAATAATCAATTAATTAACTATTTAATTTAGGAATTAAAAATTTGATTAATTTCCCAAATAAAATAGAAAATTATTAAATTGACTATGACATGGAATTTGACACTTGTCGCCATTTTATTGGCTCAAAATTTAATTATCTACAGTATTCAACTCGACTTCAATAACACCAAGAAGGAATATACCATATTTAATAATATTGCAACTTACATAAATATAAGGCGTAAAGTTGCATTTCAAATTCGATACCATAAATCATATTTTACAATAGAAATAACTTTTGAAGTTTGGTATTTTAAATTTGTGTTCGGCATTATTTCAAACCAAGAGACTCGTCCAACAACTGACTCTATACTAATAAATAATCTTGCAATGCCTTTTTAACTCTCTATTTAAAATTATTCATTTTCAACTTTTCACATACAATATGTACATTCAGTTAATTCATCAATGTATTATGAACTAAAAATACCAATATTATGTTCAAAGATAGTGAAAAACTACTTACAAAAATATAATATGGTTAAAAATTATTAAAAGACCATTTTAGTGATGATTATGGGGTATATTTATAAATCAAATATGCTTATAACATATATAGTATATATTATACATGATAAAAACAAGCAAAATTTTGGTAAGATGACTATATATATATATATATATATATATATATATATATATATATATATATAGTAAAAAAATTTAAAAATTTGGGGGGGACAATAACCCCCCTAACGTACACTTAAATCCGCCTCTAATACCAATCAATCATCTCTACTACCACGCTAATTTTAATTCACTATCCATTTATTCATATAATTTTAACTATTCATCATATTTCTTCTACTTTTACACCAAATAAACTTTAGTCATTTTATTTAAATTTTATTATAATATAAAATCAAAATCCAATTCACATCTTACCTAACCAATTTTTCAAAAAAGAAAAAAAATTATAAATATGAGCATCTACAATGCATTGGGTCTGGTTCTGCCTATGTGGTATGTAAATAAACCCAAGTCTTGTATGACATGGATATAAGTATATAAAATTAATAAAATTCACTCAAACGCAAAGAAACTAAGTCTATACTTGGGTTTCAAATAGACTTAAGGATAAATCGAGTCCTTTTTTCTGTCTGCCACGTTAGTAGTACCCAGTATATACTTTTGTTTGCATTGGATACATTTTTTTAGACTATGGCCTTGTTTGGCGATCAGCGGATAGCGGATAGCGGATTGTATTAGCGGATAGCGGATAGCGGATTATATTAGTTGATTTGACTAGCTGATTGCATTAGCAGTTTTTAAATAAGTGTTTGGTAAATAGCTGAAAGTTTATAGCTGTTTGACATTGCAAATTACCAATAAGGACATTTTATTATTTAGAGTGTATTCTTTTAATAATAATATATTAAAACATTTAATATTTTTTAGTTGGTAATTTATAAATATATTTTTTTTAAAAAAATTTACTAACACTTGATTAAGAAGTTATGAATTTTACATTTTTCTAGATAAATTAATCATATGTATGACATATTATTATTTGTTAGCATCATAAACCAATGTAGATTGTAAAATAAATAATACAAAATTACAAATTAAAAAGTTTTAAATTAAAATTGTAGATTGTGAATCCTCTATCCCCAAAAAGCTCCTCTAATGAGCTTTTTCTAAATTAGAGTTTTGGGCCTAAAAAGCTTATCAAATAAGCTATTTACCAAACAAGCTCAATAGCGGATTTGACGGGTCAAACATCTCAATTAAGTCCAATCCGCTAATTTATCCTCAATCCGCTATCTTCCAAACGGGGCCTAAGTCTAATTCTTATCTGACTGAAAAGTGTGGTACGAATAAAAAATTCTCTCTCCTCTCGCGTGCCCCAAAATCCCATCTCACCTGACCTAAATCGCCTAAGCTTCTGCCTTCCTCAGCGGCGCTGAGCTTCGCCGGCGGTCGGCCCCTACCCGACTGGCCCCTGGCCGCTTAGCCCCAACCCCGATGTCCTCTCCTCCTTCTCTACTGACTCCGTTGGTCGTGATTTTTCGGAAGTTAAATCGCATCCTTGTGCGATTCTCAACTCTGGTCTCAAAACGACGCTTCGATCGGTGCCTATGTGGTGTGGGGTGGGTTGTAATGTGGTGGGTTTGGGCTGGGTTTGGTTCAGGTGGTTCTTGGCCTCCGTCCCGGAGGTGCTGGGACTTCGATGTGGTTCCTTTCTCCTCTTCTTGGTTTCTGGCGTTGGATCAGGGAGGCCATCGCTGCATCTTCTGGCCGGTGGTGTTGGACGGAATGGGTGGTGGTGGGCGAGGGACTGCTGCGGTCCAATCGGTTTGGGGGTCGAGGCTGCGGCCCTGATGTCTGTCTGCTTTCCTCTTTGCCCAGGCTCTGAGAGTGGGGGGTTAACCGGGTGCTGTCAGGGCTCTCTAGTGGTGTTAAGGGTTCGGTCCAGTGACAGTTCTTTGGCAGTTCGGATATTGTGGTTGCGGTTTGAGTCCGGCTTTGGGTGATTTTCGGTGCTCGGATTTCGACTTCGCTAGGCCACCGTGTTGGTGTTGGGCAGTTTCGGAGTTATCCTCTTAGCTTTGGAATTCGCTTTGGTCGGCTCGGTTCCGCTGACTTAGTTTGGTCTTGCTGCTTGGGAAGGGCTTGATTTGTTTTTATTTTGTTTAGTTTTCTTAGTTTGTAGTTGTGCGTGTTTAGTTCTTGTTGTGGCTACCGCTTTTCCCTCAACGTGGATGATTTTCGGAGTTCAAATCTGAACCTTGAGCAGTCTCTTCTCCAGATCCGTCTAGGCGGCACGTGTGGCCGCAGATTTCGGGCTTGAGGTTTCAGCTTGTGACTGCGTGGGATCTCGTTGATTGTGGTGTGGATCGCCTTTTGTTTTTTTTTTTTGTGTTTTATGTTTTATCGTTTTGTTTTTGTTGGTGTGTTAGTGCAACTTTGTCTGTTTTCAGTGCAGCTTTGTCTGCTTCCAGTGCAGCTTGTCTGCTTTGCTTTTTGTAGTTTTGTTTTTGGTAGTTTATCTCCTAGATGGAGTTTGTACCCCTTGCATGTGATGACAAGGGGTAGTCTAGTTTTCTGGTTCTAGTGTGTCATTTGACACTTTGGTTGTACTCTTTTTAGTTTTTAAGTTATTTATATAATTGCCGTTTGAAAAAAAAAAGTCTAATTCTTATATGAGATACAATTTTTTGTGATTGAACTCAAGGCATTGTAAATGTTCTAAATACTTTCCCTCGGATCTCGGGGTGATTGCGTAATTCCCCGTAAATAAAAGTGTGTGTTTAGAATAAATGAAATGAAATTTCGACCCCAGAGGACAGAAAAGGGCATTGATAAAGCTGTTATGACGCAGCTAACGAAAAAAAATCAATGGAGGGTGAAAGTGTAATTTTGAATCTATAGGGTTCTTGAGCAGGACCATATAAAGCCTCGTAAGTGAGCTTCTTCTCTGTGTTGGCTGTGTGATTGTGCCGCCGTCCGTGTCTGTATTTGACCGGAAAAAGTTTCAGCAGGACTCAAGAATCATCCGCCGGCAGCATGGGTAAATCGTCATCGAACACTTTCTGATTGTCCTTTCAATTGTTTGAAAATTCGTGTTGAAGCTTTGTTCGTTGCTGTTTTTTGAAGTAATGGTGTTTGTGCTTAGGTATTTCTCGGGACTCTATGCACAAGAGGCGTGCGACTGGAGGAAAGAAGAAGGCTTGGAGGAAGAAGAGAAAGTAAATTAAAAACCCATTTTCTGTTTTTTTTTTTTTTCTGAATTTTGTTTAGCTTGTTGTATTCTTGCATATGGCTGCTTGACATTTTTATTTTCTGAACTTTATTGTGAATTTGTGATCTGATTTGTAATTGTAAGCTCTCTGTTCTTACTTTTGAGAAATGCTAAGGTCCCGTTATGGAATCATTCCGTCGGGTTCTTATTTTTGTGACTTCTGTTCTAACGGATACAAATCTCGACGGAATGATTCCGTTACGGGACCTTAGCATATTCCTTATTTTTCCGCTAAATCTGGTTTTACTGGAGTTTGTGTAAAACGATCTTATATGTGTCCATGTGTTCCATCCCGGCGCAGTTTGATTTCTTTTATTTTTTACTACACAAGCTAGAGACTTGCATAGTTATATTAGATGTTTATGCCCAATCTTTTATCAAATTCCTGCTGTTCCAAACACAGAATCAGCCAATTTAAACGTGAATCCTATCTGTTGCTGTTGTCAATTAGAATTTGAATGCATTCACTAGGCACATAGTAATGTTCTAAGTCTGTTTTTTTCTGAAACTGAAAGTTGATTATGTTTTTGCTTTTTAGGTATGAGCTTGGAAGACAACCAGCAAACACAAAGTTGTCAAGCAACAAGACTGTTCGCAGGGTGAGGGTCCGTGGAGGCAACGTGAAGTGGCGCGCATTGAGATTGGACACCGGAAACTTCTCGTGGGGTAGTGAGGCCGTGACCCGAAAGACGCGTATTCTGGATGTCGTTTATAATGCATCCAACAATGAACTGGTTAGGACCCAGACTTTGGTGAAGGGTGCAATTATTCAAGTTGATGCTGCGCCTTTCAAGCAGTGGTATCTTCAGCACTATGGGGTGGACATTGGTCGCAAGAAGAAGGCAGCTGTAAAGAAAGATGGGGAGGTATTGTATAATACTGCACCATTTCTCGGTTTTTATTTCTCATTTGGTATATGGTTAGTGCGTTGGATATCGTGACGATTGTCCTTATAGTATTTGCATGAATTTGGTTTAATTGAGTTATGATATTATTTGCATTTTTTCAATCATTGAGTAGGTTTTTACATTATTGTCAGTGTGGTAAGTCTGGTTATTTTGTACCTTAATTGTAGAAAATAAGTAGGAGCACTCGAAAAATAAAGAATAAGTCTTGTTCAAAGAGAGTGACATATTGCCTTCAACTGTGACTTTTGATGCGAACATAACATTAAGTTCGGGAATAATGGTTATATATAATGTGATTAAGCATGTTGACACCAGATTTTTACTGCTTCTAATGTTATGGTTGTCAAATGTATGATCTAATTTTTATTAGATGCGAAAATTAATCTTCTGAATGCAGAATGATATTTAACTTTTTTTTTTTCTTCATTTCCTCTGGACTTTAGGATAATGAGGCTACTGCTGCGGAAGAGGTAAAGAAGAGCAACAGTGTTCAGAGAAAACTTGAAAAGAGGCAACAGGAGCGTAAAATCGATACTCATATCGAAGAGCAATTTGGTGGTGGCCGTTTGTTGGCGGCAATCTCTTCCCGCCCCGGCCAGTGTGGACGTGCTGATGGGTACGTATTTTTCTCTGAATTTTATGCAGCTTTGATTGGGCAGTAATATAAATCATGCTTTGTATCTGCATATAATTTGAGCACATAGCACTTGTGTGCTTTCAGAGGGTGCCATTTTTTTCCAAGGGATCGTACTTTCTGATGAATGATGATAGCTCTGAGGCTTGGTTTGAAGGGCGATGTTTAATCTTTTAGAATAGCAATCGACTTATTTTCTCCAACCAAAATGTCTCAAGGCATCTTAGTATATTATTTATGTCTGTTTTAGAAAGCACTGATGCTGTGTGGTAACGTCAGCTAATTGTTGAAATTTATGGTTGTGTCTGAAGCTTTGTGTATTCTTGGTTACAGTTATATTCTTGAGGGGAAGGAATTGGAGTTTTACATGAAGAAACTCCAGAGGAAGAAAGGAAAGAGCGCCGGGGGTGCTTAAATTACATCTGATTTTTCAAATTTTCCAGCACCTGAACTTTTCTGTCATTGCATTTAGCGGGAGAAATAGCCAAATAGTTTTTGCTCGAGCATTTATACCTATCGTCACTGATGTGAGATTTTGTGTAAGGTCGACTAGATGCGCTTCGTGCACTTGGGTTTTTTGTTGTCATTGTTTGCCGATAATTTGCTTTATCCTTGGACTGCTAATCTTCCTGTTATTATACTCACTTGGTCTATATCATAGATTGAGGATCCATTAATTTTGTGTTGCCATTATCAATTCTACTGAATCTTTTCTTATCGAAAGTACAAATACTAATCTTAAACGCCAAGGCAATAGTAAAAGAATAAAAGATACAAATATCAATATAAGCGTGATGACAATATTAAAGAAAAAAAGAGCAGCATTTACAGTTGAACATGAGATTCAGATTAAAATGTACCCAACAAAATTTCATGTGAAACGGTAAAATAAGAACCAATTTGTTAGGCAGAATAAAAGTATTATAGTGCAGTTTACTAACAAATATAAAAAAATGTAATGATAAATTTCCATATTTAAATGAAAAAATCGGGTACAAAAAATTACATTAAATTGCCTAGCCTCCAATTATATATATATATA